GATGAGAAATTATTTCTCAACAACACATGGCTCTGTGATCAGTTGGGGGCAAAGACAACCAGGAGGTATTTACAGAAACAGTAGGAAGATTTCTAGTTACACACGGCTTCAGTGGGAGTTGTGAGCTGCAAATGTAGATCTGGGACTTTCCATTTAATGTTGACTCAGCAAAACATCTGGCTATTATTTCTGTACCAACAATGACAAACAGTGGTTTGGGATTCAACTCAAAACTGTTACAAAGTTAACATTTATACCCCACCCGTTAATATGTCAGCCCATTTTATTTTATTGCAAAATGTTCAGAAAATAACTCTGTATGTAAAAGAGGTGCATTCCCTGATGTTAGCGCTCTCCATGGTTTTGGGAGTTTCATAAGAAAACACAAAGTTCCCTCAAAGGATTTTCAACTACTTGTGATTTCGCAGAAAGGTCTTGAATTCCTGCTCCTCCTGTTTCAGAACATTTTGTTGCACCAGAAAACAATAATAAAAGTGAAACAAAGGAAAAAACCCCAAACTGCCATAACTCCAAAGATCGATAGTAACTGAAAGTGAAGCATCATGATGGAAAGTACAGAAAACTGCTAATTTAGGTCACCTTGGGTCATGTGCAAACACCTGATTAAGGTCATATTAGCTGTAACTATCTAAATAATAACAGTGAAGGTATAAATTTAGCTGAGGCACTAAGCAAGAACTTTTTTTCTCTCTTATGTATTCAGTGCAGTTTTTACTCGACACTAAGTGGACATAAATTTTGTTTTGCTTCACGTTCATTATGAGATACAGTTAAATATATATAAAACTGTATATATAAAAAGTTTCATACTTACCGTATTTTTCAGACTATAAGCCGCTACTTTTTTCCTACGCTTTGAACCATGCGGTTTATAAACACGGTGCAGCTTTTCTGTGTATTTTTCTTCAACCACCAGGGGGCTCTTTAGTAGGAAGTGAATTGTTGAAAATCAAAATCGGAAATCAAAGAAGAAAGCGCTAATTTTCATAGAACAACCACGTGCTAGCAGCAGGCACGACGGAGAAATTTATTCAAACTCATATGATGCAGCTTTTAAGTTGAATGTTATCGATCTGGCAGAACAGGAGGGAAATAAAGGCGCTCCACGTAAACACGGCATGAACGAAACTATGGTTCGGTTTTTTTAGACGGAGGGCTCTTAATAAATCCAGCAGATTTATTAGCAGTAGCTAGCTAGTAGCTAGCAGTAGTTTAGCTACAGAAAACCTAACAGTTTTCTGTTAGGTTTTCTGCTAACCTAATAGAAAACTGCTTTTTTATTTACACTGTACAGACATGATTTAAAAAAAAATAGAAATGCTTCTTCCAAAAAACATTGATATATTATTAAAATAGTTTAATTAATAGTGCCTGACTCTGAACTAAATGTTTAGATTATTGCAGATTGATTAGTTCTGAGTGACTGATTAGACACAGACAGCAGGAAAGAGGGAAAAGCAGAGGAACTTGAATTACATCGGCTAACTCTGAGCTCAGCACATCAATCAGTCTAAGGTTGTAAATAACTGAAAGCCTCTTCTCTGGCTGAATTACTCCCAATTTACCCAGAGCTGACACTGCAGAGAACAAGAGGCTCATTCTGAGCAAACAGACAGTCGACACAAAGCAATGTGATTGTCCAACACAAAAATATCCTAAGATATTCAAAACAATCGCTCTAAGCAAATGGTTGATTCACAGAGAGGAAACAATGGAGAGAAACTAAACCTATAATTGCAAGTCGTAGAACAAATATGTTTAAAATGGTTCATTTATTTTCTATAGGCTTTTAATAAATTGGGGTTTTCTTTTTACTTTGATACCAATGACAAAAACCTTCATTGGAACGGAAAAGAATTTTAAATCTTTTGCCATTATTATTATTATTATTATTATTATTATTATTATTATTATTATTATTATTTTGCCCATAATAAACAGTTTATTTAACCAACATGTTGTATGAGTTTTTACTCCACATATTAACCATTGTTGCTTCTACGTCTGAGGCAACAATCAGATGTTGAATCATAAATAAGTCATTCATTTCTTTCTTTAGTTGCAGTTCTGTTGGAAAAATAGGTCCTGATAGTTTTGAGATCTTTACCTCATTTTCCTCTTTTTCTTTTCTTCCTCAGACTTTTGTTAGTTATTGGAAATCAGAAACTTTCCTTAAACTCCTGAGACACCAAAATCGTCTTGATAACCGTAAACGTCAATGAGTTTAATTAATATTTTGAACGGCTCGTATTTGGTAATAATGTGTAATTACTGCGATATTGTTTATCTTTAGACTTGTTTGTTTGCTTGTTTCTGCTCCATTAAATCATTGGTAAATCAATCTCAGAGTGAATAAAAATTTTAATTACGGAAGGCGCTGATTACCAACTGAGCGACTGATATTGATGATTGGTATGTGTGATTGAAGGAACATAGTTAACATACTTAGTGGACTGTAACCTAAAACGGCTTAAAATGTGTTTACAGTGAGGTTAGTGCATGCAAAGAGGCGAGCATTTCAGTGGAAACACCGATGCATGATGGATAGGATTTCTGCTCGTTCATGACTAACAGTTTTCTGAAGCTGTGCTAATCCTCACCAGAAACCCCACTGCCACAAGCAAACAACTCTGACATAACAGGGAAAATTAATGCAAATCCTCACTTAAGTTTCTCTGACAGACATAGTAAAAAATACCTATGATGAAATCACTTGAAATGAGAACAAAGCTCCTTGTTGCCCATTTCCAACAAACTGACCACGGTGTGTGGATTTCGTCTCTGCAGACTCTGACTCATCGCTGCGTCATGAAATGGTTTTTACTCACTGTGACAACTGCGTTTCATCAGTGAATATTAAAAATAGGACTGTTTCTCTCCTGAGCCCAGCGAGTCCGGCCGTGCGGCCCCGACCTTGGCGAAAGCGTCAGCAAGGTAATGCAGCCGATACGGCCGCCTCAGCAGCGCAGATTGAGTGGCTGATGTCAAATCTGTTAAAGTGCAGCTGCGGTCAATCAGTGACTCTGCAGAGTGAGAGGGGCAATAAACCGGAGAAGAGGGAAGCAGCAATCTCTCTGCCTAATTCATTCACTTTACAGAGACTCACTGAGATTGCACTGCAGAGGGTAATCTGTCTGAAGGTAATGCAAATGTTAATCTACACACTAAGATTTAGAGAAAAGCAGAGGTCATTCACTTCAAACGAACACCAGTCGGTGAACAAATGATTAAATCTTGCTTCTGCAGACCAATCTATCAGCTCAACTAAACGTTTTGTGGAACAAAAGCTCAGACATAATTTTTCCCGGTGTCACATTTTCTCGGCAATGAATCCATAAAATGTAAAATGAGCCACAAATGTTAAGACGTTTTACTGCCCCCAATCAGCTGGTGGCCAAACTGCTCATCATTTACGTTTCATACTAAATAGATTGGGTCAGGACACATTTTAATAACACAGCCTCTGCATACCATTTCCTCAATCAGCTGACATTATTTTCCACACTGTCTTCTTGACGCTACCATATCCTCATCACTACACATGCTCTAGAATCTCAGTTCCTGAAGTCAAAAATAGTCCAGCTGTGGGATTTAAAGTATGTTAGAGTACATGCAGCTGGGCAAATATATTAGTGATAAACAGCAAATATATTAGTGATAAACAGCAAATATATTAGTGATAAGCAGCAAATATATTAGTGATAAGCAGTGTGCGAATGCATGACACTGGAAATGTTATGTTTTGCTTAAATCTATATCAATAAATTTTCCAGTAACAGTTTTCTCATGTCTAACCTCTAGCTGTAGCATATATTTGTAAAAGACGATGCATAAAAAAGATTATGCTTTGCAAACTGTGCAGCCATTTGGTTCTTCATAATCTTATTTGCAGTGCAAACACCTGAAGATAAGAATCTTTCATTGCATCCACAGGTCCGATATGTGTCCCAACAAGCTGCTTTTGCAATGGACTGTTGCATGTTTGTGTTGTGATATTTCCACTCTGATAATATTCAACACGTTCAGTGCTGTACAAACATTTGTACTGGTATCGAAATGTCTTTCCAGATTTAACTTTGCCTGTCTATGTAGGTCTGTTTGAATTATCCAATCATTTCCAGAGTAATTCCAAGTATTTCATTTGGCTCTTGTATGTCGGAGCGCTTGACAAAACTTCACCACAAAAACTAGTTTCTACTGTCTGTGATTTCATGTCAGCCACCAGCAGGAAGTGAAACAGAAAGCTGCACAGATAATTTATTATTTTTTTTTTAATGACGAACTTCTAATGTCATGTAAAATTAACTCCCAAAAATCTTCTTGAAGCATTGAGAACACAGAATCCCCCACCCCCAGATTTTTCAATTAAGTTTCCGATTAAAAAAAGCTAAAAATACCCTCATGACTGTTTTAAAAATCAGCTCATTTTTACAACTTTGTGTTGTAAGACAATCTTTGCTGTAAAAATAAATTACCCTGTTCTTAAGCACACAAACACCTGCGTTTCTGCTGCTTGCAAACAAAATCCCCACCATGCTCTCTGCCAGGCATGGAAAACCCTTTAAATAAATGCATTAGTTTCCTTAAGCTTTAAAAATGTGTGATTAAGTCAGCGAACAGACGCGAGTCTCCTCTGATGTTTGCATCTTGTCTTCTGAATAATGCAGCACCACTTCTCAGCGGAAGGAGACGATTGTGTCTCTTCTGCTGTGACCACATGTGTTGTCCACCTGATCCGCCCTTCCTGCCCCAACAACAGCCGCTTCCGTCAGCGGCGGTCTGGAAAACAATCTCACAGAGCAGCTAACGCGACCAGGGTCGGTTACAGGTCTGGCGTGCTTCCACGCGTGTTGGCACACAATAACCGGGCCGACAAAAATGTGTGGACTCAGGTGTAACTCGAGTTTCATCGGCAAACAAAGAGCCAGCAGGGGACGGGGGATTGGAAGGGGGGCGCTGAGCGACGAGGCCGCTCTTACCATGATGAGGCCGGTGGTGATCGGGTCGTTGCAGCCGTGGCACAGCTCCCCAAACTTGGCCCAGTAATCCTTCTTGCAGTACAGCCGTCCATCTTTCTCGTAGTACCAGTGGGAAAGCGAGGCGCTGCACTCGCAACACCTGAGAAACGGAAACGGACACGTTTAGCAGAACTATTTAGCAGAGATGCACCAGTTAGGCTTTTAGTGGCCAGTAATGATTTCATGTTTTGTTTGAGATCCGATTAAATGGAAGAATTGCAGGATTATCCTTATTTACTGAACAAAGCGTGTGCCCTTAACTTTTGCCTGATTGTGTATGCTTTTAGAAACAATTATGAGCTTTTTTAAATAAGGTGATCAGTTTTTAACTAAAGTCGATTGATTGGTGTGTCTCTGTTTCAACACCCCAAATAAACGTGGAATGTAAACAAACCACAGGAATATTGCATATTGTAATTTAATCCATATCTTATTCATAGTAATTAATCAGTAACAGTCTTGCTAATCTTTCTCAACAATGTTTTCTTTTAATTTGATCAACATGTTCTTTGTGAAAGGAAGGAAGAATAATGAATCATTTAGAGAGACCCTAGCAAACTCTCGTCTTGAATCTCCTAAACAATTTATGGAGGAAGCTATAAATTAGGGTGATGGCAAGGAGGCCTTCCACCCTTATCGACTTTGAGCTCATTGCAAAAGATGAATTGTTAGATTGACAGTGGAAATATACAGAACATTTGTCATGAATGCTAAGAAAAATTCCCTAATTGTTTCCAGTAAATATTGAGAAAGAGTGGACAAAGGAGTAGATGATATTTTTAAAAAAAATACATCTTTTGTACATTATTTTGATCTCCTTTGGCAGATAAGCGTCTCATTTCTGATTGGAAAACTTCTTGGTAGAATGAAAATTGCTTTAATCTGAATCTGTCAGAGGTATGAATAATTTTGGGCTCAACTGCAAATCATATCGAAGACGTGGCATCTCTGATGCATCCAGAGAGCCGTGGGGCCAAAATTAATTGAACTGTACATCTTTCAAAGCAAAGCACCAAGTTTTTGTAACATGAAAACAACTTTTTCAGTAACTTTGGATTGATGAACCACCCTGAAGCATTTTACTAGCGAGTCGTCTCCAACCAGAGTGAATTTATTGAAGACTGCAGCTGTACGTCAAGACAGATATACGTTTAGAAACAAAATAATGTCCTGCAGAAACTCCTGTTAGGTCAAAATCCATGCTGTCATGGAAATCGACATTGTAGCACGCCATTGGTTAATGAGTTAAAATGGAGAAGTAATCACAAATCACACAAATTCAAAAAAAATACTGATGTAACATACTTTATCATATTTTCTTTAAGTAAAAACATGCAGTTGATTTTAATACCAAGCATCAGATTTGGATTGGTGTCAGCAAACGCCATTTTAACCGACTCAAATCAGTAAAAGCGATAATAAAAATTAAAAAAAAGTCCTGACTGGTACTTTCTCAACATTGACACAGGAAAGAAAGTGGTGCATTAGTATTCTTCCTCCATCAGCGGTTCAGGCAGCAAACCCTGTAATAAGTCATTATTGTGTTGATTGAACATAACATTGTGCTGAACCCGGCAGGCTGCACTTTCGCCCTCCTAACGATCTCCTCCAGAGCCACAAATTACAGTTTTCATGGCGACTGCGAGTTCCTCTGCAAACCCAACAGTTACATGTGATGACACACGAAAACACACCACAGCGCCTGCTCATCGGGCAAAACAGAGTGACGTCAAAAGACAGGACGAACCTGCAGCTGAGCACGCTGCTTCGATCAACCGGTCACTTGACGCTATTGACCGACGGTGAGAAGGAGAGATCGGTTCAGAAAGAAACGGCAACCCGTTGACGGCTCCAGGAAGAATCGATACGCTTCAAGTAAACACCTGACAAACATCTACAAACGGTTGTCAATGCTGCCAAGAATAAAAATGTGCCATGTGAACCAAAATCAGGCCAAATAATCTACAACACTCTGAGACTGAGGACTCAATCTGACACCTGTGTAGATCCATATCTTTACCGTAATCCAAATAGAAGCTGGTCGGGGAGCCTGATAGATATCGGCCTTAGCATGGCTGTTTACACTTAGAAAGGCTGATAAACACACAGCTGGAGAAAAAACACCCTCCCCTCCGAATTCAAGATCGTGCTGCAGATACCAGGACCCAGTTTGATGGAGGTTTGAAAAGCTAAATAAATACAGATGAATGAAAGTTCACCTTTCCTGATTATCTCATATGAAGCAGGAGCTTCTGGTAAACCGCGATTCAAAGGAAAAGAGGGACGAGCCAGGAAAAAATGTGTATATGCACATATGTCCAAACAAATATGATTTATAAGGTGTGCTAATCCCTTCGACGTATACAGTCATGCCTTTGTGAGCACAGGAAAGGCTGATGAGTCTGAAAGCCTGTGAGTGCTTGTTTGGTAATCTGACTAAATCTCTGCGTCTAACGTCCATGACTGAGTGAGCGTCTCCACTCCCGTTCCAGAGGAGTTTCCCTCCCGCCGTCTGGACTCGTCTTCACTCAGCGCTGCTTCAAGCAGTCCGAAAACCGGAGGGGACATGTCTTCAAACGCAGCACAAATCGCTTTGTCCAGCTGTTCGATGCCAAACCAAGGTTTCCACATTGGTTGGGTGCCGGGACAGTCATTCATCCAGCGGCCCCTTGTGGTTTTGAGTTAAAAAATGTTTAAAATTGACAGGAGATTTGAAAATACCACTTGATAATTATGAGTTACTGGAAGAGTGAAAGATTAACACCTGAACACCAACTATGAAGTCTTAAAAGACGCAAACATTTTAAAAAGACTTAAAAAATAAGCAATGCTAAGTCTGGTGGGGGCTCAAGTAAAGCCTGATGAGGAAAACCCTGCAAACTGTTTACACTGACTATTATAATGAACATGCATGAGTGGCATTGCTTATGGCTTCAAGATGACCCCATGTTGTTTTACAGATGTGTCTGTCAAACAATCAGAAGACACGAGTTTCATGAAAAGCGTTTTTTTTTTTCTTTTCTTTTTTTACGCCTGAGCTTCACTGTTAGGTTTTACACTCGACTTTTCTAGGAAACCAGTTTCATGCAGCCATCCTTTGCTGCTATAAATAATGCAGACGGTCCAGGATCCCTGTGAACAAAGCACAGATCCTGAAAAGCTTTCTGGAAAATACTGAGAGTTAAATTTAAACATCCGAGTCAGAAACAAACAAACAAAAAAAAAACATCAGTTGTACATTTGCTGCAGTGGCAATAAAATAAAGGCCATGCCCTGGAGAAGAAGTTTGAGTCCATTTGTAAATGTTTTATGGGACTATTTATTAGTCCAATTGACTGATCAAAATCAAAATTAGTTGTGCAAACCTCTGTAGTACAATCTTCCTCCTGCGATTTAAATTTAATAGAGCTCTCTGAGGTTGTGTAGCGTCTTGCAAAAGTACTTATATTCCTCGTTTTTTCCATTTTGATGTTTTATTGGGATTTTAACCAACAGATAGTACTAAATTGTGAAGCGTAAGGTAAATAAAGCTTCGTTTTAAAGACGTTTTTCTTCATAAAACGTGAAACGTGATAAAACACTTCAAGTCCAAGTCAAGTCTCAAGTCTGTAACCACCGATATAAACTTTAGTCATCAAATCAACAACATCTAGTTCGCATAAGGCTACAGCTAAAATAGACAGATTTATTTTAACAACTCATAACCCATGAATCATACCGGCTAATAATCAAGTAAAAACATGAAGTCTGTAGACTTTAATTCATGACAAAAATGTGAAAATCAGAAAACCTTTTAAAATTTGCTCCACAAATATAAACTACTTGGTGTTGACCTATAAAGCAATAGCACACATTGACATTTTTGATTGAAATGTTAAAAATCAGAAAAAGTTAAAGGTATAAGAATCATTTTTGAGGCCACTGTAGCTGCTTTTAATAATTTCTTAGCCATTCTTTTATTTTATTTACTGACATAAAGCTCTGCTTTAGCGTATTACCCTAAAACCAGCAGCTCAAAATGACTCCACTCAAGGTCTTGGATACTCTGAGCTGCACAGAGGCACACATTGACCTTGAATCTCTCACACACACACACACACACACACACACACACACACACACACACACACACACACACACACACACACACACACACACAAGCTTCCAGACAGCATCTCCCCAGTGTGGATGCAGAGCTGTGCTGCAGCTCAGCAGATTGTTGCTCCAGTATGCAGCGTGTCGGAGCAAACCGGGGGGCAGGGGAGCCTGGAAGTGGGTCAAACCCTCCAGAAGACGTCTGCAGCTACTCAGCTGTCTTCACCCTCCGCCGCTCGATAACTGCAAAGTGCTGCTGATGCAGAAGTCGTACCTGGGTGTGATGCTGGCGCTCACTAAGCCCCGGGGAGGATTTTAATGCTCTAAGGTTGAGGTTCCTCATGGAGATTTCTCTCAGATCAAAGCTAACCGGCAGCAGAGTTTCAGAGACATGACTGAATGCAGAGAGGCTGGATTCTTGCCTTCGGGATAAGAATCTTCTCTAAAAGGAGAAGCAGAAAACCTGCAAAGCAGAGCTACAACTTAAAGCTTTAACACCTTTTTAAAAATAGCGGTTAATCGTGCGTTTTTGGCGGCTTGGTGTATTTTTGGTTGAATGCGGTCGCCTGTGTGCTGGCACTGACACATGATAAGAGGATTAGCAGAGTGAAAAAGCTTCTTCATACTCTGATATGCTGAAACACATTTAAACAGGGACAGCTTGGTGTGTTTTTTTTTTTTTTTTTTACATTTTGCTAAGCTGCAACACCTCCATGCAGCAAAAAAAATGTTCTGTGGAGAGAAAGAGATTTTCTGAAATGGAGCCTAAGTAAAAAACTAAAAAAATAAATAAAAAAAAATGGATAATGATATAAAAACTTCAAAGACAAATAAATAAAACACACAGACTCCTCAGACATAAAAGCAAACTCAACAAGCTTCTCTGGATCCTAGAGGGAACGAAGCAGCCAATAGCAGAAGGAGCTGAGATTAGGAGAGGAGAGTTAGTAAATCTGAAACCGTCCCCCCTCCAGTTAAAATCCCTGATGGAATTAGCTCGATGCG